GGTGGTCAGGCCTCTACATTGACTATGAAGTGGACTTCTAATTGAGAATGTTTGGAAGTCTATGTTGTAAAGACAAGCTTGCATTGCATGCATCGTATTTAAGTCAATGTTTCCTCACTTAGGGAATACTCAGAAAATAATGAGAACTACATTGAAGTACCACTGATTTTTGACCCAGTCATAAGAGAGGATTTGAACACGGATTTTAAATGTGTCGTTCGTAATACACGGAGTTTTCAGATGCTGCATACCACAGTCAAAGAAGGTATGTATTTGGAGGACATTAAAGGGGGAAACATGTGGAATATTCTGTGGAAGCTAGTCAAGACCACCCATTCTCCAGACGATTACATAGCAAGTCCCTTGCGTTTCCTCTTAGTGGAGCATTGAGAGCAAATCTCTCATATTTTATAATTTATTTTTTAAAATTATTTTTAGTAGGGTGGAGGATGGCCTTGGGAGATTATATTTAACTAAAAATTTAAATAGCAAACTGATTTTTGGAAAAAAGATTAAAAGGTTCTGCGATAAACTCTAAGAAAGCCTGTGTCCTCGTGTGGTTCTGCCTGGATCAACAGGACCAGCTGTCCTTGAGGACCCTCGCGGAGGGTGGGGCATTCTTTATCCTCAAATTGAGAAACCTTATCCTCCAAGAGCCAGGAACTGGGAGACACCCAGGGCTCAGGGCAGCTTTAGGGTTAAGCTCATCCGTTAACAGGAAATAAAGTGCAAGGCAAATCAACCCAGCGCCCATATAAGGACATTTAAAAAAGAAGAAACTACAAATCCATGTTATCATAAAAAAACAAATTGGTTTTTTAACATTTAAGCACTGAGCAGAAAATGGAAATGAAGGTAACACAGGCTGTTGGCAGCCCAAGAGAGGGCCAAGCCAAAGCCATCCCCGGCTAGAATCTCTGCGTGCCTCCTGGGCAGTCTGCAGCAATCAAATAAACGCAAATTTCTCCATGTTTGCTGGGGAGGCAGCTGCAGATGTCCTACTAATTGGAGAGCTGAGGATGTGGTTAAGCCTCCGGGCAGAGAATGGTAACACAACACAACTTTTCTCCAAAAATAAAAGTCTATGCACCACCAGCATCACCCGCTTGAGCCACTCGTTGAAAAATACAGATCCTTGGGTTCACCTCATATCTACCCAGATTCTCCTGGGGAAGCCAAAGTCTGCCTGTCACTGAGTGGGCTCCTTTCCTATTAAAGTTGGAGCCGATTCGTGACCCAAAGGAACCTGTGGATTGTGGGGTCCTGATGCGGGGAACCTTTGAACATTTCTATAACGTGAGCTTCGTCCCTGCATATCCTTTGCCGAGTTGGCCATGACTGGCTATAGAGGGCGCAGCTAAAAGCCTGTCACCAGGACTGAGAGGTGCATGGATGCTCAGAAAATTAAAGCTTCACTGATTTTAAGCCTTGTGGGGTTTCAAGGTATGAGACTCCCCCAGGGAAGATAGCCTGAGGTTGTGTCAATTCCTGGATGCCTAGACAGACTGTGATAAATAGTAGTTTAAAAATGTAGAATTCTGGCTTCATCATCGATGTGTCTAAAAACACTCATTCTTGTGATTACTTGTTAATGTTTTATTCCTACTCTCTTTCTATATTTTCACAACACAGAGGTGCCAAGGAGTAGAATATGAAACAGTTGGGTCCAAACAATAATCTTGACACCTATAGTTCCTTTGTCCAGAGTTTTTCTTTTCCTTTGTTACTTTATTGAACCCTCATGACACCCATGCTCATTGGCCAAGGGCAGATTGGACCCTGGCCCTGTCACAGTTGGCTTAGTTGAAACATAACAGACGATACCATATTGCACACTAGTCAACAGGAGGAACAAAGTTAGATCCTCGACACCTCTTCCTCCCCCTCCCCCACATTGTTCCTCTCTGATGGATTTTCGTTCTACTTTGCTTGTTTCCCTGATGCCCCAAATATCATTCTCCAACATCCTTTATCTTGGTGTCAGGGGCACACTTCCTGAACATCAGTGCACATTTATTAGAAAAACACACCCCACTGGCTTTCCTCTCTCTATACCTGCACTACACTGTCCTATTTGGCTGTGAGAGAATGTTGGAGCCCTGATGTGACTCTGTTCTTCCTACAGCCACCACGTTCTCCTGGGAGATTGCGCTGGCCCCCCTTTCGCTGGTCCTTCTGGTTTTTGGGGGAATATGGATGCACAGATGGTATAAACACAGAACTGGAAAAGCATATGGTTTGACTGCGTTAAAGACTGGCCATCAAGAGTTTGACGCCTATCCAAGTAAAATAAAGGAAATAAAATAGTTCAAACACAAACCATATCCTTTCTCATGGAAGTGTCTCTGCCTTTCGGAGGGACTCTGTTCTTTTCCTAAGTTGTTACCAAAGCCGCTGGGTTTATAGTGGGTTTGTACTACAGGACTGAAGTATTAATGTAAAGATTGTTCTGAAACTGAGTGATAGGAACAAATGTGGGTCAGGTGCGTAGCTCTGTGCCACTTGTGACCTACTTAAAAGAGTGAATAAGCGTTAGAAGCATCTAAGTGAGTTTTGAAATTCACTTATTCATCATTTAACAAAAGTGTGCTACATGTCCATCTTGGGGGTGTTCTAGATACAAAGGTAGTGAAGATGTAGTTTGCCGCTTCGGGAAAGAGAGAATTTCATTTTGAGACTGCGAAGGATGCTTTAGAAATGCCAAAGAAGAATCAGCAAGATTTGGTGAATTTTTTTCAAAAGGATGATCTCCCAAATAGCAATTAGAATAGACTGTCAGAAAAATACATGTTAGAACATACTAGTGAACTGAGAAACAGACTCAACTTCTTAACAAAGCTTCTGAAAATAAAGAGAAAGGAAGGGTATTGAGATAATTGCATACATATTGGGGGAAAAATAACAGAGCCTTTTATATCATCTACTGAAAATAAAATCCAATTAAATTGTTTTTTTGTTTTTTTTTAAGATTTTTATTGGGGAATTCGGGGGATGGGAACAGTGCTGGGGAATTGGGGGAAGGGGAACAGACAAGTTGCTGTCCTTTTTGTTCTTCAGTCTAGTTGTGGAGGACATTGCTTCACTGGCCCAAGTTGGCACCATCATTGTGCTCTTCCCGGGCGAGGCACATCAGTCTCCGACTTCTGGACGGCCGCTCATACTGACTGCTGGCTACACATGGTAGCCCATGGCAACCCACTGCCACAGGGGCTGCCCCCTACGCCATCGCCGGCGACTCATGGCCGCCCAGCTTCAAGTTGAGCTGTTGTTCAGCATCTTAACTGTAGAGGGCAGTAGCACTGGCCCTCATCTGTGGGATCTGAACAGGGGCCCTCTGGCGTCCCAAGCCAGTACTTAACCATTGTGCCACTTGGTTGGCCCTAAATTGTTTTTAAAAATCAAATTGCAGGAAAATTGAATGGCTCACTCCACCCATCTCTGTTCCACTGTGACTGCCCCAGAGGCTCTTCTGCATAGCACCTCTTTCCATCCCTCCTGCCCCCCTACTCTGTTTTGTGTCGTTATAGCTCTTACCACCACCTGACCTTCCATTACATATTTGCCTGTTTTCTGCCTGCTTTCCTCACTGGAATGGGAGCCCCATGAAGGCAGAGGTTGTTTTGGTCACGGCTGTATCCCAAGCACCTTAAATCATGCCTGCCACATACTGGTCATTTGATAAATATATGTAGAGTAGATAAAAATAGGATGAATTCTCTTGTGTTTGCTACCAATAAAGAAATCACCAGAGTAAGCATGGAGAGGCTTGATGATGTTACAATTTCTGCATGATGAAATAATAAAAGCAAAACGTATAGGAAAAATGTCAGTCAGGTTTGAGGAGTTAATAACTATAACATCATAACCCCATAATACATGAAAGAACATGAGTAGGAAATTTGCGGGAGAAACACACATAAAAGAACCAAGGACAATGATCTGTTTCAGTAACAACTGGAAATGTAAATTAAAGCAACATCGAGATACCAAAGCACTGACACACTTATCAAGTTTTAAAAGGTGATATCAAGTTCATTTCAAAACAGTCACTCTCATACCCGGTAATTCCATTTATAATTTGGTACTGGGAATAAAAAGGCAGTATGTCTCAAGCCAGTGGGGTAACGGGTCCAGCTTTCTTGTTCTTGTAAGAGGCAAGTGGGGCATCTTTTTCCAGCTCTGTTCAGGGCTATCATGCTGGTTGGTATCTTACAACTGGCCACAGTGGGCGTGTTTACACCACAGAAATTAGCAAATGCCATGAGTCTGCCCTCCCCTCCCAGCACACCACTACAAGGGTCATAGAGATGCCCAGTAATGCCACGCCTAGGCATTACCTTAGGAAATAATTCAAGAAAAGAAAATGATTAGATATACGAAGTAGTTCAATGAAATTTATGAGTCTGATGATGAAAAATTACACATCGATGATAAATTAGAATGATCAAGAATGTGAGACTGAAATATAATGTTAAGGAAAAATTCTATATTGTTTTATACAATTTATATAGTTATAGCAATAGTAAAATTTGTTGTGACTAGAAAAAGAGATAAAAGCAAGGGTTTTGAAGACAGATTTCTTGGGTTCCATTCCAGCTCCACCATGTGGTGCCTCTGTAATTCTGGGCGAGTCCTTTAATCTCATAGTATATCAGTCTTCTCATCTGAAAACTGGGGATAGTGCCAGGAACAAAATAGTTGTATTGTTTAGACCAAAGGTTGACACACTACAGCCTTCTGCCTATATACAGCCTGCCCTGTTTCTGTACATACAGTTTTATTAGAACTCAGCCACTGTTTATGTATTGTCCGTGGCTGCTTTTGCTCTTTGAAGGTAGAGCTGAGTTTGGAGATGGAAGGAAAGGTGAGGATGTTGCAAACAGAGGCTCTGGATACTGGTGACTTTCTGGCTCTCCAGGCTTGGATGCCACCCATCTTTCATCCCCTTCCTTCCTGGGACTCCTCCTCCAGGTCTATTCAAAGTTCTCGACCTTCAGATTTTGGCAGCTTCAGCAATGACCCAGAAAAGAAGCTGACTGCAGCCAGAAGAGAATCACAAATGACTTTCCAGGTGCCCCTTTGACTGCACCCCTTACGTATTTCCTCCCCTGCACAATTCAAAAGTGTGGGGTCATGCTGTTAAGGAAAGTAGGACACGCTGGGGAAATTTGGACACTGCATGTATGATAACATCAAGGAATACATGTCATACGGGGATTGTTACACTTTTTTTTTTAAAAAGATTTTATTGGGGAATTGCGGGGAGGGGAACAGCGTTGGGGAATCAGGGAAGGGGAACAGACAGGTAGACAAATTGCTGTTTTTGCTTTTCAGTCTGGTTGTGGAGGATGTCGCTTCACTGGCCCATGTTGGTATCATCATTGTGCTCTTCCCGGATGAGACAGATCGGTCGCTGGTCATTGGTCGGCCGCTCCCAGCGGCTCCCGGCAGCTAACACCTGCTGCTGGCCGCTTACGCTGGCTGCCAGCCACTCATGTAGCTCATGGCAGCCCACTGCAGCCCTGCTGCAGCCTACGCCGTCGCCGGCGACTCACAGCAGCCCAGCTCCAGGTCGAGCCGTTGTTCATCATCTTAGCTGTAGAGGGCCAGTGTCACTGGCCTTCAATGTGGGATCCGAACCACAGCCCTGCTGCTCAGAGCTGGTGCTCCCAGGCGAGCTCTTAACCAGCTGAGCCACTCGGCCGGCCCGGATTATTACACTTTGAGAGAAGAGTCGTAATCTTTCTAAAAGACATACAGAAATAATTATGAATGACAGTTGAGATTTGCTTCAGAATAATCCAGTGCTGGGTGGGAGTATAGATGAATTAAGCTTGGCCAGGTATTGACAATTGTTACTACCAGGGATGGGTGCATGGGGGACCTTTATACCACAGTCTCTATTTTTGTATATATTTAAAAATTTCCATAATACAGAGGGAAAAACTCCCCAGCATAGAAACTACCCAAATACCCACTAGGCAAGAGAATGAATGTGTAAACTGAAGTGCATTAACACAGTGAATTATACAGTGTTGAGAATGCATGATACTCTTTATATAAAATGAAAAAAAAAACCTAGAACTAATCTAATCAATCATCTATCTATACACATACATATATATTAATATATATTTACATTTAAGAGCATATATGGGGTTAAACTATATTTTAACTGTACATAGATGCATGCGTGTATATTTAAAGGGCACATGTGTGATTTTAAGGTTTTAAAAATTGCCTATATTTTAAGAAAGCAAGAAAATGAGACACCCATGGTTCAGGATTGTGAATACATCAGGCGACAGGTAGGGGACCAGGATGCGTTAGGAAGATGTAAGTTTCATCGAATTCTAGATCTCATGTTAGCTGGTGGATTATTATTGTTTATTATCAAACAGATTAAGAAACAGGCCACTTATAGGCCAATGGAGAGTATGTGTCTTGAACCAAGGACTCTAATTAATTTTGTGCAACTGAGTCCAGATTAAATGAACAAACAAAAAGAGGCAAGGGGATTTCTTTCCTTAATGTGGCCGATCTCATTTATTTATGTTGATTCTATTGGTTTAAGTTTCTGAAAGTGAATTTTTTCACCTCCCCCTGCAAAACTGGGGACACAGGTCAGTAAAGAGCATTTGACAGCTTCACACTTCTATGCACTGCCTATAGGAAAAACAAACCCTATGTCATAAAACACCACCTCCCCAGGAACTGAGGATGGCAGTGGACACAAGTAACAGTCACCAACAATAATTTATGCACTAGAAAATGAACTTGATATCTTAAGTATTTCATAGGCTATGGGAACATACAGGGGTTTTTCAGAGGGTGGGATTGTATACCGACTGTACGACCCCCCAGAGCAGGAGTACTCTTGCTCGTTGATGCATCCCCAACCCCAGCCACTTAGGAGAGACTTAAGAAGAGTCTGCTGAGCTGATAAGACAAACTGTGTTGCGTGGGTTATCCTAGGACTCGCCAGCCTATGTGGATGAATGGGAGCCTATCAGCAGGGCTCTTCCAAGTTTCCTGGCTACTCCCAGACTCGCACTGGTTATTTCCATGACTCCTGCCAATAGCTCACTTGGACCCATACACATGCCTCGTTTTCGTGGTTGTTTTCCTGTTGTTGTCATCCCCACCCACTGGCATCTGCACCCATGCCATCTCTTCAGAAGTCCTCGTTGCTGCCCCTGGCCTTCCAGAGAGCACTGTCACCCCACAGAGGGCACTGTCCCAGGTTGTTGAGGGGAACAAGCAGCCTAGCTGCCACCGTGGGCAGCAACCCCGGTCACCTGCAGAGCCAGGAGCCTCCCTGAACACTCACCGAGTTCCCCTTCTGTGGCTCACATGGTCAGACAGATGCCACAGTGGTGATGGCAGACCTGTAGCCCCTTTCCCACAGGACCCAGCCTCAGACCGTGTGCTCCTCCTCATACGAGCCTGCAGAAACCACTTCCCCATTCTTCTCCAGGCAAAGTAAAGCAAAGCAAAACAAAGCCTCCTGCAAAGAAACTCCCAGTGGGGCTGTCCACTGGTTCTTCAGAAATGGGCCAGCTTACCAGGCCCCTGAGCGAGGCTGAGGCGTCAGGCTACATGGGCCAGAAACTACTCAACTGGCTGCAAGGACTAGGGGAGAGGAAGCTTTCGACGTGGGAGAAACAAAAGCAGAATGAACAAGAGGAAACGGACGCTTAACCATCTGCAGTGTGCAAAATTTTATGTTTGACTCAATGGGACCCTCAAAAAAATCAACAAGGTGAATATTGTAATCCACACTTTAGTGATGAGGACACGGAGACTCACTTAGTTGAGATATTGCGTTGTAGAGTGTGGCTTAGACGTACAGTAACACAGGACATCCTAAAACGGAATCCCAGAGCTTACCGCAGCTGCACAACAGCTGCCTCAGCTGGAAAGAGGTCTT